TAAAAATCTAGTAAAAATTATTTTAATTTGTATATATACCTATGTACTTGTGCGAAATCTACTTACGAGTCACAAGGGATTAACTAACCTTAATATTATACTGATGGGTATATGTAGTTGTTTACATTGATTAATTATCACATTTTTTTAAATGCCACGATGATTTAAATATTTATATAACTAATTACTGAAGAAGTAAATGTGCATTAGCCATATTCAAATCGCATTGTAAGAATTCAGTAATTTACATTAAAAATTAGTATAATATTAGATTAATATGTTATACCTCGTTTACGATGAACCCATTTTCATGTTCATAAAAATATCATTATAGTATCTATACTTTAGATTTTCAAGCAATCTTCCCTTATATAGTTCACTAATCAAATGTTAAAAAATAACCGCTAATGTTATCTGCAGTCGTTTTCGAATTCCTAATTTAAAACATTAAGAAATACCAAAAAAGGACTGCGGATTATTCTTTTTTAATTTGCCATAGGTATCTAGTAAATAAAAACTTAAAAACAGGTTTTCCACTAAATTTTAAATTAATAATAATAAACAACGTTGTACCTATCTGTATGCTGCTTTATACCTATCGATTTATCCATACTCGTTCTTTGCGAACATTGGAATACTGTCATCAATAATAATTATTATTCTTATGATAATCGGAATACCTATGTTTTGCTCTTTTTCAAGCCGCCGACGGGATATCGAGACGAATTATATTCTTATTATTTCTCTAGAGGCGTATACAAATGCTTCTTAGTACAACCCACTGCTGCGTGACTACGGTATATCATTTATGCATATAAGTATGTGATCATATATATATGTATATAAAGCGCAATCGGATCCGATGCGAAATCGATTTTTGCCGTTTTGTCATTTTTAACCCGTACTGCTCGTATTCGTAAGTATGAATGTATGTATAATATGTATGTACTTATATAATATGTATGTATGCTGTTTAATATTATAATATATACTTTTTAGACGGATTATATTTCGATGATGTACCTAAACACACGAAAGTGGTTTTTTTTTTTTATTTCGCCATCAGGTACGTACAGATAAGTGTGCTGCGGTCGGGAAAATATATGTATTTATGTTAACCTCATATATATATATAATATTTATTACATCGTATACATAATTTCGCATATATGCGAGTGCGTACGTATATATGTTATATATTTTCAATTTCCCCGCGGTGTATAGTCTCGCCGTCGGTGGCGGAGGGTGGAGGGGGTGCAAGAGATGACTGATGAAGGAGCGTGCGGGGGGGGGGGGGGGGGGGGGGTGCGGTGTGACGAGAGGGAGAGGTAAGAAGACAGATGGTGCAGAAATATATTATTCCCCTTCGATGGGACGACGATAATAATAATAATAATAAAAAAAAAAACATTTTATTATCATACACACGTTATTTTTATATATTTTTTTTTCAAATATCCCTTTAAGCCTATTTAGTGTTTACATTGACCGAACGTTGTCCGATAACGCCTCGGCGGGGACCCGAAGCTCCACGCAAGTGTGCGTATACGTACATACGCAAATATATATATATATATTATATTATATATTATGTTATATTATTATATAACTATACGCCGCGCGCCCACACGCACTCGCGTCCGAGTGGTGTACGTATATATATAGGGTGCACCTACCTCGTCGTCACCCCCCGCGCACACCGCCGCCGCCCCGTTGAAAATATCTCCGCTTCTAAAGGGTTGACGGGCGAGGGCGGCCGGGGCGAGAGAGAGAGAGAGAGAGAGTGTAAACCTCGCCGCCCTGCGTGAGAGACCGTTATAGTGTATTCCTGGCATCGGGCGATAAAGGCGGTTGGCCTGGAACGCCGAGATAACGGCGGCGGCCCAGAGGCGGGTCTCGCCTTTATATAGACTGTACATACATATATATATACACGTATATATACTATATAGTATGTATACAGTGCGAGTTACCGATACACTTGCAGCATACATTATATATATAAATACCTACGAAGTGGTACAGTATAGGGGTTGAGCAGGTGGGTGGACGTTTGGTGGCGGCGGCGGCGGCGGCGGTGAGGGTTACCAGAATTAAGCTCACCTCAACACGACGTCAGGTAGTAAATTAAATTCGTCCACCACTCCCTCCGCCACATACATACATATACGTATACATTTATATATATATTTATAATATACATAGTGAGAGAGATATAGATAGATATATCCTCCTCCGGCGGGCCGCCGCTCGCGGAAGTCCTTCCATTATCATTTTTTTTTTTCTCTCATTCTTTAATTCCCTTTAACAGATCGCTGCTACCGACCGATAAGCATTTATATATTATATATATATTATTTTGTCGCGGGTCCTGTAAATCTTGGAGCTGTGTTTCTCCCCCCCCCTCCCCCGCACACTCATCCACGCAGTCTCGCCCCCCTACACCTACGAAGGCGGGGGTGTCTCCCCGGCCGGTATATAGAGTTATGTCAATATACCGCCTCGCCACCGTTATCAGCTCTTCCGTCGGTTCGGTTTGGTTTTTTTATTTTTCACCCTCAGTCCGTATTTACGTTTGTGGTGCTCTCTCTCGTGGATCTCTCTCGCGCACCCGGGCCGAGTCGTACGCGACTGCTGTCGTTGTTGCCGTCATCATTATCGTGTAATACAGGATACAGGCACCTGCTATATATATATATATATATATATGTATAGTGCTATATGATATTACCGCCGTAGGTCGACGCGACGGGATTTATTATATTATTATTATTATCATCATTATCATCATTATTATCGTCATCGTCGTCGTTACCGATGCTATTCGTATACACACCAACCCGCTCCCCCCTCCCTCCACCCCAACCTCCGGTCGCCAATCGTCGGTTATCTCGCCGGCAACAGTGTACCTAATACCTATACTTTGCACATAATAATAATATCCTACACACGATATTATAATATACGCGCGATCGCGTTGTGACGTGTATGCGTGGCGCTATACCTACCCCCGCCCCTCAATTCTCTCACCACCTACTCACTCTCTCTCTCTCTCTCTCTCTCTCTCTTGAGGCAGATTGATATTCGTCTCCAGAAAATGACGGTTTGCGAAAAATCGCGTTTGGTTTTTCTACACATTTGTAAGTCCCCCTTAGTACTCCATCATTATACACGATTATTGTTGTACACGTTGTAATCGCATGTTTGTTGTAGGCGTCCTTCATGCTATGCGTACCGAACGGTTGGGGAAAAAACCAAAATCTATAGATTAATAAAATAAATAAATATAAATAAAAACTTTATTCGTGGGTTCCGTTCTATATTTCGTTATTCGGTCGGTTGAGACGCACACGAAACGATAATAACTAAAATAATAAATATAGATACGTACACAAAAATATGAATAAAACAATCTTACAAAACAAATATGTATGATATGTAATATATGTATATTGCGTACACGCATTAATCATAACACATTATATATATATATATATATATATGTAGTATATACGCATGTGTATTGCCCAGACTGGGACCAAATGGTTTCGCACGTGTAAACTCCAAAAAATACTATTTATTAACCAAATTCGGGTTCAGCAGCACCAATGTTGTGATGTTAAGAATATTTTTGGGTTAATTGACAAAAAAATAACAGGTCACTGTTATTAAATTTAAAGGTAAGAGCATTGTCTGCGTTCTCTCTTTAGTTTTTACTATATTTTAATTTTCTAGCGAGTTGATGATCATTTTTAAATAATTAATAATCGTCGTTCGTGTTCATAATAACTCGCTTATAAATTAAAACGGTGTTAAAAACCAACGTGGCCTTTAATTTTGATGGGTAACAACAATATTTGTGATAAGTAAATTCACTGTCATATATTTGAGCCAGCGACACAAAATTGGAACTGCTGAACGTATACACTTTAGTATGGCGTATATTATTTGCGTTAGTTGAACGAAGACAACACGTGTGGGTGCGACGTACTCTTAAAAGCGTCGCGTTCGAGTTAAATAATAATAATATAATTATTTGATGCGTCATAGAAATAATAAAGTATCGATATCGTTCGGAAATCGACCATTAGCGAAAAACTAATAGCGCAGTGTGCAAAAACACTCTTTTTGAATAATATTCTGTCTATATGGCCAAGGGTCGTCGGCCGTGTTGTATTACACCATTTCGTATACTATGCTATTATATTAATAAAATAAACTGATATTGACCGTGGCGCCTGTGTAGTTGTTCCGGTTATTTATATAGTATTATAATAATATAATTGTACAATGTGATATAGCTCTGTTGCCCGACGACGAGCGATAATGACGCGTTCGTTGATAGACCGTCATAATAATAATATCGCATTATAATGTTCTACAAACATTGACTTTGACACTCGGAATCGCAGTTCAAAGTGTACGGACATGTCTCGTATTCTGCGTCACGTTTTAGCAAATAGTAACTTTCGTAAAATAAAAAAAATTCTACAGCTCTGTTGAACTCTATCTGCCCGTACAGTACCTATTTATTATGCACACATATATATACGAGTGTGTGTGTGTGTGTAAGTGTACGCTAGTACGGATTTCGGGATAACAATATTGTTATTGTTATTTGTATATTTTATATGTTCCGTTCTGCGCGGAAACGTTATAATACTAAAAAAATCAAAATCAATCAAAACCAATTATATAATTAATATTATTGTTATTCTACTCAGTGTTGTAGTCTCGCGTGGCTCTCGTGAAGTCATGGCTCTCTCACCGCCCATTTTATAGTAAAAAAACTTTGAATTTATTATTATTTAGTTCCGATGAATATTTATCAAACGAGCGCGCGTTCTACGTATTATTATTACTATATCATTATTCATTATCGTTATTATTTAGTTTATCGCGTACGACTCTAATATTGCGGTTAATCTGTTGACGCATCTAGTGGTCTTAGATGGTATCCGCGTATATATTGTATGTGTCACGCACATATCGCGCTCAGTTGTCGTTTGAATACGTTTTCAACCGTACCGACAAGCCAACACAAACCTATTGAATTGGTCTTGTTCTAGTTGCACATCGCCCGAGTAGTTGTTTTTTGTTTTTAAATTTTTTTAAATTTTTTTTCGCCGTCTCTCGCAGTTAAATTAAACATATTATTTTGCCGTTAGGATTTTCCGCTTATTTTGACGACACGAATTTAAAGATGGTGAAAGTGATCCGACATTCAATCAAAAGCATAAGTAAGCAATATGGTTTTTAATAAAATATTTTATCGTACAAGTTGATAAAGTGAAAAAAAAAACAAATAAATAATTGATTTTCGTTTTACAAATACAGTCAATTTGCATTCGGTATCGGGACAATATAATTATTATTTATTTATCGCTGACATCAGATTATCGTTACTAATATTTATTTAGTATAGTATTCAATTATTTTTTGCCCAATCAACAAGAGGTTTGTTTGTACATCTCATTATCTCGAAAACAAAATGTTTACATTCCGTTTTATTATTTTTTTTTGTTTGACTACGATTCGGTTTACGATTCAATAAGTCATTACAGCTGGTGGTACCGTGTTTTAACAATACCGTAAAGGCGTAAACAAAAACACCGATTTTTATTTAATCATCGTTGTATGAGGGTAACTGCTACGTTCGTTTTTAATAATGAACACAATATCATGTAAAAATATAAAATATGTGTGTAATCATAATTCGTAATAATTAACGATACAAATATATACATTAGGCACTAAAACAAAACAAAATAGAATAAACAGTTATCAGCTCGTACTTTAAAATATTTGAGTATAGTAATATTATAAATATTTACTTAAACAATTGTATAGTAATTACAATTAACTGCGAAAAAAATGATTACGACAGTGCTATTGCTTTTGGCATAGTGTATAGTGAAAAAATAACTAGTAAAATATTTCTTATTTGATAATTAATACCATGCATATAGACATAGAGTTTATTATTCTTAATAAATAAATAGTGAATAATTATAAGTTGGTTTAACCATGTGATTGTTAACGGGAGGTACACGTACTATAATATTTTTAATTAATTTTTAGTACACTCACGTCTAATTAAACGAATATCTTTCCGGTAACCGCGGAAGTCTATACATTTCAATTCATATATATTATTACGTTTTATATTATACGTACAATATGGACGCGTTATACTGAAAACTTGATACCGTATAAGGTACACATTGTTACGTTAGGACGTGAACAAATTGGTGCATATAGTTACTTTTAATTGTCAGATAGACAAAATCGGAAAAAAAAATAATAACTATAATGGACTTGATAAAGGTAGGCGTATAAAATATGTATAATAAAGTCGATTATTAATATTGATTTGGACAGCCGATACACTTCCCGCTGCCACTATATCACTGGGAAAAAACTGATAAGTCAGGTGGAAAATATCACCGGCAGCCGGCCGAATTCCAAATGCCACTGATAAGATTTGACCGATTAGTGCGATATAAATTATAACGCTTCGAGGTCGAGTCAAGATAGGTAGCCATAACTCTGATAACAATCATCAATAATAATTCCTATAGATGCAATATTCTTTAAGCAGTGTTCGACTTTTGCCCGACAAAACGCAGTCATCGGAGTTCAAATCGGAAAACCTTTCACTGTTTCGACGAAACAACTTCATAATACACCCATGTAGGATAGTCATCCATTATAATAATGATATAAATGTTGTATAACAACGACGGGCAACGACTCGATGTAGTATAGGTGCTTACAAAAGTTTTCCGTCCAACTTGCATTAATTATTTTCACGCGATTATGGTCCGCGGGACCCATATTGTAGTCATGCATACCTGTAATCTGTATTCGAATATATTAGGCTTCATTATCTGTATATTATATTATTATGGCGTGTGTGATAATTACACGATTTTTCACTGTACCGAACGACGTAGTCCTTTGTCGATCGATTTAATGGCGTTACACTCAGTTGTAATGATTGAAAATCAATGATTTCACGCCCGTATCACGAAATTATGAATAGATTTTTTTCTCGTTAATTTTTTTTTAGCATTTTTTTTTTTTTATGAGTTATCGTTATACACCTCTGGCAAAAAAAATCCAACATTTATTTTAAATAATCTACACCACACACGACTGTAGTGCGCGCACACCACACACACACACACACACACACACACACACACACACACACACACACATGCACATTATAATATATAATGTCTAGTGTATACCAATCGCGTTTTGACGTGAGATAGTCTCCCACTACATTTCATTTGTAATGGCCACACACAAAATCCATAATGCAACTAAAACCCATTTCTACGTCCGATACACCATTTTAGTAGGGTAGATAACAGTTAGATAACCAACGTTTTATCTGTGCGTTCCTTGTGCACTGCTACGGCGATAATACATTTATGTGTGTGAAAGGATTCCAACACGGTAAGCAGGAGATTGGGATCAGATAATAAGTATTTATTAGCGTCTCCGAAGAACCGACTCATAGTTTCTGTCTGTAATTTTTCGAATTTCCTGTTATAACCTTAAACTCAGGGTGTTCAAATAACGCGCGTAAAATCTAAAGATTAGGATATTATTATTATTATTATTATTATAAGCTTTTAAAGAGAAACCCATTTCGTTTTCCCTGTTATCTGCTGCGAGTTCGATAAAAAAAAAAATAAATAAATAAATAAAAAACCATTATATTTTTAATGTTTCATAGTATATAATATAATATTATTATAAGAACTCGGTTTCGTGTGTATGTGCATCGAATATTTTACGTCGAATAAATCATTGACCCTAGAAACGTATAATATCGTCGTTACACATCTGCATTCGCCAAAAGTGCCTACATTTATAATACCTAAGGTACCTACACTTTGTGCTCTTTTTTAAAAATAAATTCGTTTAGATTTTTTCCTATTCATTATAATCACGGTTTCGTTCACGCGTGGGTGTCACGATCACGAGAACTAACGGAATTTTGAGATCAAATGATAATTTATTTTCCAATATAATATATATATATTATATTAAACAAACAAGAAATTCAAAACGCTTACATTTTAAATTAATTTAAATATCTAGGTATATAATATTATGGCCAGTGTAATGGGTACCTAGTGTAAACATAATATTGTTAGTATAATATAATATAATATTAAAGTGATCGGAAATTCGGAACACAATTCATTATTTTATTTTGCATTATCAATATACATAATATAATATTTTAATTTGTATTTATAATAGTAGGATTATGTATCTATAAATATTGCATACATTTATATTTTTCACCTTGAATATTTAAGCGTTATCTCCTCTTATATTATAATATGACAATAAAAAAATGAATATTTATCGGAGTCTGATAATAACAAATTATCTCAGAACTCAAACTATTCGACAATTTATTTACATATCTACCTATATATATATAATATATATATATATATATATTAATGTTTAAATCAATGACCATATTAAAAACCTCTAATTATTGTACAACGATTAATACATAATATCATAATACAAATAATTAATAGACTTACATGTTTCAGGGTTACTTAAATTAATCGTCAATTTATTAATTATTCCTATATTTTGATAATACCCCTATACTTCAATAATATATAAGATGTTAATAAAAGTCCGGTATGGTAATAAATAATATAAACATAATATTATGCACTAATACAGATTCGTATTTATTATATATAGTTACTATATAGATACCTACCCATCGAACGCCACGCGAATGTCTCGTCTTGTCAAATATTAAATAGATTTAATGTCATCAATAAATTGAAGCCTTACATACGTTTAATGGTAGGTTATTGACCACGGTGAAACTAGATACATATATAAATGTATATATAGTATAGGTTTACAATATTAACGAACAGACAGACTTGTGGGCAAGTCTGAAAATTCGCTTATATTATATACATATGTATATGAAAAAAAAAACATAAAAAATAAACAATTACCTAAGCAAAACGAAATAATAGCGACCCGGTCACGAAAATCGAATGTCATTTGCGTGTCGCACGTGTACATAATATAATATTTATGTATATACAAATATATATATATATTGTACACAAATATGGCGAGTAAGCGCAGTCTCCGTGCAATATGTACCTACTGCATGTGTTATGCGAGTGATGATGAACGCTGAAAAAATGCACTGTTTTCCGATACTATCAATATGTTTATACACCGTAAACATGCCCAAATACGTAAGATATTATCATACAACCTGCTGCAGGTGTTCACAAAGTTTGGAAAAACTTTTGAACGCCCCGTGAACATATTATAATAAATAGGTGCATTTTTTGGTGGAGGGAAGGAAGGGATATTAAAATTAGCCTCCTCGTAATAAACACGCGCCATTTATATGGTTAATACTAGTTCTTATATTTTATATAATTACGGTATATCCGCAAAAACGGGGTGTTTACTCAGAAAAGTTAAGTTATTGCCCAAGTGCAAAATACGTTAAAAAAGTCATAGGAATTTATGATCCAATAATTTAGTCTCATATGTTCCTCAAATAGAATTCAAAATATTATTTACCTAATACCTATAGAGTACCGAGTAATATAAGTTCCTAAGTTAAAGAGTGTACCCTGTTTTTGACTTTTGTGGACACACGATGTATAATATAAATGAACACGACCTACAGATTTAATATAAAGTCATTATTCAATTGGTATTTATTTATTTTTATGCTGTTTTTGGAAGGGAGGTGGCCGAAGTCGGCCATCACAACGATCCACGACTACAACTGAAAATATTGAAATTGCACTCCCGTCTGCACACGTTGTGTCTGTAATATTGTTGAATAGCTAAGATAATAGTGGGATATATTTGTATAATGTATAGCAGTGACTATATCGTAATAGTATAATGTCTTTTCTGCCACCGTGAAAACTCTTCTGACAACGACGGCGACGATGATGATAAATACTTCACACCAAAATCATTGTGCGTTTCACCCCCTGTAACCTCTGACTTTGATTTTTATGATTTTCAGTTTGTGTATTCACGTACCTATCGGTCTAAGCGTCACTACGTAATCAGCAACATGCTAAACGGTAATTATTATATCGACGGAAAATAATTTTCGACAAACGCAACGACCAGCGGGTAAGGTCATGTTTTCTATTGTCGTCTCAGAACGACGTGTAAAAATGTCGCAAATTCATTAATGTTATAGTGCGACAAACTATCGTGAACGCATATTATCATAATAATAATAATAATATTATTATTATGTATATAGGTATACGAGCAGTATTAGACTATACACTGCAATATAATAATTATCTATTATTATAGTTTTAGAACAACAATACAAATCGTATAAACTTTAAGAGTTACGACTTCAATATATATATTTTTAAATTATTTTTCCAGTAATGGGTGTAGGTACCTATATATAAGTATTATATAAAATAAAAAATGAATCCATGTGCAAATTAAAAAAATAAGAAATTTAGATATCTATCGTATATTATTTTACTTATTTATTTGAACTTATGAACAGCGGCATATGAAGTACTTTTGACATAGAACAAACGATATGAAAAAAACGCAATTGTGGATAATATTAAAAAATTTAAAACTATTACTGAAATAAATGAGTATAAAACTATAATTATTTGTGATCACAAAAATTAATACATAATTAATAATGATGGTAATAACCTTATATTAAAACGCATTGAGGGATAAAACAAAGAAATTCAAAACAGCAGAAATGTTATTCTTTATCGGCTTTTTCTTATAGTTAAAGAGCTCTCGAGAAAAACAAACTATACTGTCACAATCTGTCTTAAGACTAGGAACAAAAAATTTGAATTACGTAGTGTACTTATTTGTAAAATGATTGCTTGGAAACAACTTCAACTATAAGAAGTTTTAAATATTATAGTAAGCCCTGTAGTTACCAATGTCGACGTCTCTCGCGTTTTTCTTCATGAAAATTGCTGCCGATCATCATTCAGAGTGATTCTCACTTAATCTCACTCGAATTTTGCATTCAATTTGTATACATAGTGATATTTTTATATTTTATGTATGTTTTTACATTACTTTCGAAAAACTTGGATTTCTTTCCAATAAATACCTCTCTTTTTACTGTAATTCGTTCAACAGATGATTGTTTTGAAGATTTAAATGGACCTATTACTTATCGAAATCGAAAACCTGTAGTTTTTGAGTTACCTATTTAAGTTTTATGTGTCTGAAGATAATAGGAGAAGATTGGGTAGGACTGCTGACGTGGCTATGATGATATGAACATTTTAATAAATATTGCTAATTAGTATAAATGTATTTATATTTTATAATTTGTTAAAAATATCTGAGAATAATAATCAGAGGTTATAAAATACTAAACTATTTAAGTAGCACATAATATTATACTATTAATATTTTATGTAAAACCTTTATAATAATATTAAAGACTTTAATAGTATATCCTATTTAGTACGCATCAAGTGTAATAACTCAGAAACTCCTGGTCTTTATTTTGATTTAGATGTTTAAAAATCGTCTTAGAATATAAGTATATAAGAACAATTCACTGTGAAAAACACAATAAGTTTGCATATTACATAATATATGTCCACAGGATTCTCCTGTTTTATCTGTTTAAGACGCAAAAGTCCAAGTATTATTTGAAAATATATACCTGTTGCTGCTGCACTCAATCGTTTTTAAAATCAAAATTTCAATAGACGCGCATCGATAAGTGAATAATAAAATTCATAATTCAATAACCATCATAAATATTGTAAGTACTACTGTTAAAGGATAAACACCTCGCGAGCGCACTTGGCCAATCACCCCGTGTATTGTATATACATCTGTTTACAAGCAAAACATCCCCAAACAGAAAAACCCTTCCCCCTTGTTCGCAACGATATCAGGTATATTATCGTATTCCGCGACCAAGTCCGCAGTACAACGTGCATATATTATTATTATTATTATTATTACAGGACTCGTTTCTACCGCGCGCGCGCTCACACACACTCACGCACGGCGGACAAGTATATAGTTAGCTCCGAGCTAATTACTGAGGGTTTTGTCACGATTCGATTATCGCGTTAGCGAAGAGGTACCCACACACACACACACACACACACACACACAAACACACACACACAGTGCATTATATATATGTATACACGTTATATAACAATGTTGCGGGACCGCCGCCGCCGCCGCCTCGCCGCCGTAATCTCTCGCACGTATCGGCGGCGGCAGCCCGAAAACCGTTGACCGATATCGGTCGTCGGCGATCAGCTCCTCTCCCGTCGTCGTCGTCGTCGTCGTCGTCGTCGCCGTCGCCGTCCTGCAAGCGCACCGCACACAAGCGGACGACGACGACGACGACGACGACGACGCACAATGTTATATGTATATACGCAGCGTTTAACGAGTGCGCCGCGGACACAAGCCAGCGGCGGGACATAGGAGTCGTCGCTTCTCTCACCCCGCGGTACCGCGCGCCGCCGCCGCCCGAATGCGCGCGCGGAAATTCGAAAATTAATGCGCGCCGCGGTTATCTGCGGACGCGGACACGCGATCGGCAAAACGTGTTTCGTATATACCTCTTATATATATATATATATATATATGTTATTATAATATTACGCGTATATAGGTACCCACTCGCCGTATATACATATATATATATTACACAGTGCGTAATGATAAATACATACGCTCGGCGACTATGTGTATAATAATATTGTACATGATATGTACATACGCGTACAATATGCCTCCCGACATGACTGTTTTACACGATCACTACGTACACTTGCGAGGTGCCTACACACACACACATACACACGCACACATACGGTGCTGGCGTGGCCATACATTTTAATATTTAAATTGTTTGTACACATCATCGCTGGCGATCGGGCTGGGAGAAACATTTGTTTTTCGACTTAATGTATTATGGCTCGTCAAGTATAAAAATAATTGTGTGTGCATGTTATATGTGACCAGATATTAAGTGGCATCACTTTTTGTACGATATTTACTACAAGAGTAAGCGCCACACTCGTTGTGCACGTGTTGTATATGTAATCCGCCATGTATCATAAACATTGTAAATCTGTGATTTGACCTATATTACACGAAACTCGACGATTTATGATTAACTATAATGGTAAATCGTAACAATGTAAAAATGTTCACTGCAATGTCACAACTCGCTGCAAAAAATCAACAAATCAACAAAAAAAACAACAAATATTTGATTATAATAAATAATCTGTTATCCTTATCACCTTTAGGTTTCATCGATTCACTCCTCTATAATAATTAACCGTACTATATATATGTACAGCTGAAAACACAAAATTGTTTCTACGGAACTAATATTTGTTTTGTTGTACGCGTTTGTATGAGACAACACGTGCCGCGGGTGTGGCGTGTACTCTTAAGAAAAATTTAAAACTCGTTGAATAATGAATACACATATAATGTATAATTATTGTTTTATTTACACCCTATTTCAGTGGGTGCTTTGAATGCTCGTTGATTTTTCATAACAATATCTCGATATCATTATATTACTATCGATGGACGTAGCACAAACTGTTAGTAATTTGTCAGTAATTAGCGACACCATGTGTCAGTGTATAAGTACTGTATAACCTAACCTAGAGTCCTAAACGGTTATTGAAAACCAATAAATATTTTTAAGAAAAACGTTTATTACTTATTATCTTTGTGACGCACCGGTTGGGAAACGTTGAATTGTCTACAATAATCATTCGCTAAATTAAGCTTTAATTTTTTTTTATACATGTAATATGGTAAATAATTAATTAGTATGAATTATAAAACATAAATTAGATTCATATGAGCATTGATTTTTTTGTCATTTATAATTATTGTTAGCCGTCAATATTTTGTGAAGACTCAAAGGAGCCGTGGGCTGAAAAAGTTTGAATACCTCTGCGGCTTAACCTAAAGTCCCCGTGTAATAGGTATTTGTTTTGTGTTACTGTGTTAGTATATTGTTTTGTAACTATTGTCCGTGCTGTATAACATGTTACGACTTTTGGATTCGGTAACCACCTGAGATAGTTATATACTTATATAGTATATTATATTTTGTGTTGCACTACTAGTGTCCCTCACTACATAATATTTTTAATATCCATAAACCATCGACACGTAATTATAATATTATATAATAAACGTGTGTCCGAGTATTACGATACAATATTGTGATCCAAACGCGCCTGCATTACTCATAATATGTGCATTATTTGGTAGATATTGATTAAGCGTGCACACACTATATTACATGGCTTATAATATTATAATAATAATGGTTTATGACCGGGTACAAAGTCATAATATCTTGGAACCTTCATCGACTCATCGTACCGTACGAAATAGAGATCGTATTATACCTTTGACAATAATAACGCTTAAATAAGTATATAGTACCCCACGTGTCGGTTCGACACACAGATTATTTACTATTTATGTGTGTGCATAGATATATGTCGTTTGGGACAAAGAGAAAATCACAAATACTGAAGTCGAAGAAAATATGTAACGCGTGTAGAATGCAATGTATTAGGTTATGTTATGACTGTAAAAAATAGAACAACATTTCATGAAAACAAATTTTCTCTCGTGTGTTTCGCGTTGTATAATATTATAAAAAACCGTTTGATTTTATAGTTATAATATCTATGTATAAATATATATGTTTTTCAAGAGCAACAATAATATTAGATATTCATATTGCACGGATTGTCTCTGTAGGCTGTGGTTTGGAAGAAAAAACTCGATTTCCATGGTTTTAGCAGCAAAATGGTAGTTTTTCCCTCGGGGCAATCACCCGATATATTATATAATATTATAATCCGGTCCCGAAAACCAACACAATTTTATATTTGGTTGGTACTCGGACCAATATCACGATGCGGCAGCAGTGAAGAAGGACCGCGCTCGCCGATAACGGTTTCTGGATAAGCCGGTCGCCACCATATAAAAACACTAAACATATAATATATTATATCTATATATTACACATTATTTTACACGAATG